CTGCCTGCGTTTTTTCAAAAACAGAAGCAGCGGAGGCTGGCGACAAACCCTTTTTATGTATGTAGGTTCATTGTGATGTCTGCGGCTTCAGGGAGGGGCAAGAAATTTTCAAGCCAGCAGTAACAGCCTGGTTGATCAGCCACTGATCCACCATGAGGCCTAGTCACAGACCGGGCCGCGGGGGCGTTAACCCCCGGAACTCTACAGGTAAACTCCAGGTATTATAGTATGTAGAGACAGGCCACGTCTGGTAATTACCTCTAAAGGAACTGTGAAAGCACAATATAAATCACTATGATCAAGTTAGTCTATGAAAACTGCTTCACAGGTAAAGTATATAAAAGTTTAGTACACCTCTGCCTTCCAAGGCTGTGAAAATACTGCACAAATACGATACAGTCAACTTACAACACTGGCTTCACCCTCGACTAAGACTCTCGTACATAAAATACCACCAAGACATTAAATTGGAAAGTTGTAAACGAAAACTATTCAAGTGTTGGAATGTTGTGTGTGAGTTGACCGTGTATCTGTGGATAAAGCTTCTGTCCTCCCAACACCAGGGGATTGTTCTTCCTGACGACTGACCAAACTAGTTCATCCTCTTAACAACACGGTATTTCACTGGTGTTAAGACAGTTAGCTCAACTTAACGAGCCTTTAACAGTGATTAACTAACCAAACTAACATGATGTGAGTTAGTGGTTTAGAAAACTCACAAGTTGATAAATGAGACATTTGTGCAACATTTGGGTAATTTTATTTTGGAAACGTTTTGCCAGCCTGTGACTTCTTCAGTTTAATGCAGAGAAAGATGGAAGATGAGGAGGAGTTGATGTAATCAGTCCCTCAGCCTGGAAAAAATCTGTCATATATATATTATAATATATATATATATATATATATATATATTATATATATATATATATATATATATATATATATATATATATATATATATATATATATATATATATATATATATATATATATATATATATATATAATATATATATATATATTATATATGTATGTATATATATATAAATATTAATGAATGATTAAAATTTCAGTGAATGTATAAGTTTTATTTGGATCGTTTTTGTAATCATCATGATATGATCCAGAACAAAAGAGAAATATGACATTTACGAAGACAAATACCGTGTTTACATTGAGAAATGATATAATGAGTAAAAATATCAGACATAAGCCAATGTTCCGACAGTATAATTACTGAAGTGCAGATGAGAAAAGCTGCCACAAGATTAATTTACACAAGGGATTGATGGAACTAGGATTTTAATTTCAAATATTACTGAAGTGAGGTTTCAGGCTTGAGGAGCCAATTATTTGGATGAACTTCAAATGTTCATCAGATAAACTTGTGCGATATTTGAACTTGACAAGCTTATATTTGAACTTGACAAGATTATATTTGAACTTGACAAGCTTATATTTGAACTTGACAAGCTTCATTTTAGAAAATGTTGATTCACAAAGGTACGTTGTGCGAAAAACTTATACGAAACCACAAGAAAATCTCTGCAAATTTGGAAATTGTTCAGACTGTAAAGATTTATAAGGTTGGATCAGATTTCCTGATTCATACCTTTCTTTCATCATGTCATCTGACGAGATCAATAATTTCCATTTGAAACTGACTTGAGAATGTTTCAACACTGCAGTCAAATGGATTTTGAAACGGCTTTCTTTCATCTGTTTTTCTGTCAAATCAGAAAATCGTTTCTGAAATTGTTTTTGCAAGTCATTAATAATTTGTTTGAAATGAAGAAGGAAATTCCGCTTCACTTTCTTCATGATATTTTTCACAACATTAGAAATTAACCAAGTTAGAAACTTTCACTTGTCCTTCAAATAACATCAGAACTCGACTCACGAAATCGTAATGACACGATTGCAAACAAACCATACCACGGGTGGGGTTTGAACCCGCGGTCAGAGAGTCTTATTGAAGCTAGCTGGCCCAGTGGCTAACGCGACGGTCTGGAGTTTTGAGACTCTGACCGCGGGTTCAAACCCCACCCGTAGTGTGGTTTAATAACATCAGTTTTGCCCTGAATACCTTGACACCCGTGTGTACATCACAAATCAAACTTGTTTCACCTTGAAACTTCAAATTCAAATGATTCATATCACTTGTCACGTCTGCAAAAAATGTCAATTTCCAAAGCTAATCAGCGTTTGATAAAAGTGGTTCAAGTTGGGTCTTCTGTGAGAATGAATCAATTTCCTTTCTGAGCTGAAAGAACCCGTGATAGAACCTTTCCAAAACTAAGCCATCGAACTGCTGTATAACAAAGCAAGTCAGCGAACTCAGAATCAGTTTCTTCTAAAAAATCACAAAACTGACGATAATTAAGCCCGTGAGATGAAATGAAATTCACTGCTGAAACAACAGGTTTCAAAACGCAAAATATATCGTCATATTTTCCACACAATGCTTGCTGATGGATAACACAGTGAACAACATGGATAACACAGTACAACAACATGGACTCTCAGAATCCACCATCGTCATAAGCTTTTGTAATGTGTCCAACCAAACCTTTCTTCACCCCAGACATGATCTCTCCTCCATCAGTTGCCAGGCGTCGCAGTTTATCCCACTCCAGGTTATATTCTAATGCAGGTTTTTTTTCAGTTCCTTAAAGATGTCTTGTACGGTTCCTGTGCTGTGTATGATATGCATTGATGCTAATTCTTGTATGAAATTAAATTCATTGTCGACGCCACGGATGAATACTGGGAGTTGTGATGTGTCACATCATTCGATTCATCAAGTGCGAGCGACTAAAACTAAAAATTTGGTACTTTGTCTGCACTTTGATGAAATACATTGCTTCCTGTATCCTCATTTCTACGAGCAACAGACCATACCACGGGTGGGATTGAACCCGCGGTCAGAGACTCTCTGACCGCGGGTTCAGTCCCGCCCGTGGTATGGTTTGTTTGCGATCGTGTCATTACGATTTCATGAGTCATGTTTACGAGCAACAGTATTTGGCGTTAGACTGAGGATTTTGAACAGATTTGTTTTTTCTGGATATAACTTTGTCACTGCTTCCATCATGCACTTTGATCAGGAGACTTGGACCTGCCCAGGAGACTTGGACCTGCCCAGGAGACTTGGACCTGCCCAGGGGACTTGGACCTGCCTCGCATGGGCCAGTAGGCCTGCTGCAGTGTTCCTTCGTTCTTATGTTCTTATCAGATCTCCATCAGTGAATAACTCCTCTTTTGAACATTAAAATGGTATAAAATACCGACAGGTTGTTAGGTAAGACACATATGCAACAGTTAGGTATCTTTATTATGAAACGTTTCGCCTACACAGTAGCCTACTGTGTAGGCGAAACGTTTCATAATAAAGATACCTAACTGTTGCATATGTGTCTTACCTAACAACTCCTCTTTTAGCTAACGCTTTAGTTACTTTGTAACTGGTCCTGCTTAAGCTTCAGCTTCAGTTCTCTTCTGCGTATAAAACTTTGTTGGGAAAGTAACTTGTGTTGTATTGATTCACATTTTTCCGAACACTGTGTTGCTGTGAACTGGTAGTAACTTGGTTTATGTTTGGTATCATAGTTACGACGTACATCGTATCATAGTGACGACGTACATCGTATCATAGTGACGACGTACATCGTATCATAGTGACGACGTACATCGTATCATAGTGACGACGTACATCGTATCATAGTGACGACGTACATCGTATCTTAGTGACGACGTACATCGTATCATAGTGACGACGTACATCGTATCATAGTGACGACGTACATCGTATCATAGTGACGACGTACATCGTATCATAGTGACGACGTACATCGTATCATAGTGACGACGTACATCGTATCATACTGACGACGTACATCGTATAATATTGACGACGTACATCGTATCATAGTGACGACGTACATCGTATCATAGTGACGACGTACATCGTATCATAGTGACGACGTACATCGTATACTGACGACGTACATCGTATAATATTGACGACGTACATCGTATCATAGTGACGACGTACATCGTATCATAGTGACGACGTACATCGTACTCCTTCAAAGGTGTAACATATTCCTGCCATACAACACACAAGACTGTATCACCTGCTGATACAAACAAGTACTTTACTCCCTCCAGTCTTCATTAAACAGCGACACTCACTCTCCACTGTTCTTTACCTTTTTCCTTCAATAACTGAAGGTTGTATCTGAAAAATGAAAAGATTAGAACTAAAATTTCAACAAATTTTGACATATAAATTGTTACAAGCAACAAAATCCTTAACATTAATTGACTGAAAATTAGGGTATAATTATTAGTTTTGCTATTTATAAATATTTCAAGTTGTTGTGGGCCACATAAAATCTTGTGGGCCGCATAAAATCTTGTTGTGGGCCGCATAAAATCTTGTTGTGGGCCGCATAAGATCTTGTTGCGGTCCGCAGTTTGAAAATCCCTGATATACATAATACAGCAGTGGAGTAACTTTTATGGGGAGATAGACCTGCCTGCCTCAGCATGACTCACGAAATCGTAATGACACGATTGCAAACAAACCATACCCCGGCCGGGATTGAACCCGCGGTCAGAGAGTCTCAAAACTCCAGACCGTCGCGTTAGTTGGACGAATCTTATTGTGGCTAGCTGGTCTAGTGGCTAACGCGACGGGCTGGAGTTTTGAGACTCTCTGACCGCGGGTTCAATCCCGGCCGGGGTATGGTTTGACCTGCCTGCGTTTTACGAACACAGAAGCAGCGGAGGCTGGCGACTACCGTTCTATGTATGTAGGTTCATTGTGATGTCTGCGGCTTCAGGGAGGAGCAAGTTTTGCAAGCCACTGAGGCGATGAAGACATTATTATTATTATTATTATTATTATTATTATTATTATTATTATTATTATTATTAATTATTATTATTATTATTGTTATTATTATTATTGTTATTCCATTTGTTATTCTTTACAGTACGTGCGAGCAGTGGCACAGCAGTTGTTGTCCCGGGACGAAGCCCTGTTGGCCCGGGCCACTGGTCCAGTTGGGTCCATAACCCCCATGGTGGCCATACTTCCTGCTCCACACTGCTCAGGTCAGTACCAGCCTTAATGTACCACTATGGTCCATCTGGTAGTAACCTCACACCTGTACCACTATGGTCCATCTGGTAGTAACCTCACACCTGTACCACAATGGTCTACCTGGTAGTAACCTCATACCTGTACCAGTATAGTCCATCTGGTAGTAACCTCACACCTGTACCACTATGGTCCACCTGGTGGTACCCAACAACAAGATAGTTCAGGTAAGACCCCATGTGGGGCGAGCGGGGAAGACGGGACAGACGAAGAATAGCACTGGAGAGGAGTGTCCACAGTCACAGAGAGCGTGCCAGGGCTTAACCCAGCAGCTAGGCGCTCGTGGGACGGTCTGGAGAAACAGGAGGAGCAGGCTCAGTTGCAACGGCCTTGTGGAGGTTGGAGGTCTTGAGTCTTGAGAAGCTGGCAGAAGGTTAAGTCACAGGAGAGGGCAGGCAGGTAGGAACATCAGACGGCAGCTCACTGGTGGTGTTATTTGACGTGATTAAGGAGGCAGGTTTCAAATCAAAATCTTGATTTCCTCGTAAAGATTACATTGTATGGTTTACATGTTACGAAATATTAATTACAAAGAAGGCCTAGGCATTTCGGGTTTGTTGAGGAGCCATTTTAAAAATTTTTGAAGCTACTCCTAGAAAGGTGGTATAGTTTAGTCTTGTTTCCAAAGGTGAAACGTAGAGGCTTGATGAATTCCAGAACTTGGGTGAGTGTGAAGTGAAGAGGTGGCTCGCTAGCAAACTTGACGGTTCCAGCACCGAGGCCTTTGTAGAGCTCAGTGTAAATCATGGTGTCAGCTTAAGATGGAGAAGGTAAGGTTTTCCCATGAGGGTGTACTGGAATCGTCAATATCTTCCTCTTTTTCTGAAGTGGATTCAGTAGGCGAGTCTACAGTGGTGTTAGCAGGTGACTGAGAATCGACAGGAGCAGTGGAGAGGTGTAATGGTAGTGTAACAAAAGGTTGGGAGGCGTGGGAGACGATAGTTGAGGCAGAATGAGCAGTGTTGTCGGCGGTAGAGGTGGTTGTAGAAGTTTCAGGAACAGTTGCTTGGGTAGGAGACAGATCTGCAGGTGCAGTGAAGTTCACAAAGTTGAGAAGAATCTTGATGTCAGCTGGAAGTGGGGAGTCCGGGAAAACGATGGCGGGCATGTTGTTAAGACGGAATAGTTCGCTCATGGTGATGTTCAAAGTGCCGGGATTAGCTGCATTTGTAAAGTGTGAATACACTATGTAATATAGCACTTTGGAAGGGGCGCCGTCAGGAAATGGAGAGAGTGAGTTGCCGAATGTAGAAATTGTTGAGTGGCTTGGAGGATCTTGGTGGTGTCAGTCTGTAGTTCCGTTATAGCTGCTTAAGTAGGAGAATTTGTGGTGGTCTTCTTTAGTTCTTCTTTAATCTTATTGAACTAGATTTCTTTTCTTACAGGACATTTGGCCGCAAGAGTATGGTGATTACTCTTGTAGTTTAGGCAAGAGCAGTGGTGGTGGTGGTGGTGCTTGATTTGTAGACGTGGTCATCTGTTTCGCAAGTAGAACAGATTTTCTTGTCCCTGATATTGCAGTCCTTGGTGTTGTGGTTGTAGGAATAAAAGGTCCAGCAGGGAGAGACGTGTTTAAAGCGTTCAGGCTCGATGTGGCCAGAGTGAATAAAGTAGTAAGAAATGGCTAGTCTGTCATAAAGAGCTTGGGCAGCCATAGCGACGTCCGTGAAGGTGATCTTGATTATGGACGAGGTGTTTGGTATCATTGTAATGGTTTCCACCGAGGCCCAGATGTTCTCTTTCTCGATGGATGACTTGATTTGTTCGCTTGAGAGGGCACTGGCTATTCTATCAAGACGTTTCACGAAGACAGAACGTTTCGCCTTCAAGTAAGGAGAGGTGGCGATTTCAAAGCCTCGGTCATGCAGCGTCTTGACGGCAGAAGTAAACAGAATTTTTCGGCCTCCTCATCGCAGTTACAGGCGACAAGGAAGGCGCCCTTCAGGGTCGAGATGCCGGAGAACTTGACCTGCAGGCTGCTTTTTAGGGCAGCCGCAAGTGCAAGCTTTGAAGCAACGTTCACCACAGAACTTGCAGGTTTAATCTTAACACGATGAGACATCGTGGAAGAGTACAGTGTCCTTGTAGAGTGTAAAAGTTACCCTCCCTAACTGGGATCAAAGGAAGACTTCTTGAAGGTAGAGCGACTGTGTCTTGCCAGTACCAAGGTCACCAGTGGTACCCTCACACCTGTACCACAATGGTCTACCTGGTGGTACCGTCACACCTGTGCCACAATGGTCCACCTGGTGGTACCGTCACACCTGTACCACAATGGTCCACCTGGTGGTACTGTCACACCTGTACCACAATGGTTCACCTGGTAGTAACCTCACACCTGTAACGTAATGGTAACGTAATGGTGTGCAGTTGCCTCCTGCAGGACCCAGGTTACAGGTTGTGATGGTGATACCAGGTGACTTTGCTGTGGTGGTAATACCAGGTGATGTTGCTGTGGTGGTGATGGTACCAGGTGATGGTGCTGTGGTGGTGATGGTACCAAGTGATGGCGCTGTCCTGGTGATGGTACCAGGTGATGATGCTGTGGTGGTGATGATACCAGGTGACGGTGCTGTGGTGGTGATGATACCAGGTGACGGTGCTGTGATGGTGATAGTACCAGGTGATGGTGTTGTGGTGGTGATGGTACCAGGTGATGGTGTTGTGGTGGTGATGGTGCTCTGGTGGTGATGGTACCAGGTGATGGTGCTGTGGTGGTGATGATACCAGGTGACGGTGCTGTGGTGGTGATGATACCAGGTGACGGTGCTGTGATGGTGATGGTACCAGGTGATGGTGTTGTGGTGGTGATGGTACCAGGTGATGGTGCTGTGGTGGTGATGGTACCAGGTGATGGTGCTGTGGTGGTGATGGTACCAGGTGATGGTGCTGTGGTGGTGATGGTACCAGGTGACGGTGGTGGCATTTTATTTGTTAGGAAAGAAGTGTCTGCTGACACTGGACTTTATCAAGTGGTGACCCAACACTCCTAAAACAAAGACTCACTTTCAGAAGACATCAGTAAGAGAGTCACTGCCTGTTAGTCTGTGATGATCGTGTTCCAAGCTGTGTTTGAGCTGACTGTTGGTACCGTCGGAACTATGGTGGCTCCAGACTCAGCATTTGTTTCCTCGTGATAAGTTTAGTTGGTATTTTTAACCTCGGAGGTGGGGGTTAGCCACCCAGGATTGCAAAGAAAGTCAGTGAGTCATCAAAGACTGTCTGTCTTTTCCCGCAGGATGTCACCCTCAACAGTCTACTAACACCCAGGTACCTAGGTGAACAGTGACTGCAGCAGGTTTAAGGAAATATGCCCAACATTCCCACCCATGCCGGAAACGTTTCCATGTTTTCATCTGGCTTGTTGTTTTGACTCACGAAATCGTAATGACACGATTGCAAACAAACCATACCACGGGAGGGGTTTAAACCCGCGGTCAGAGATTTTCAAAACTCCAGACCGTCGCGGGTTCAACCCCCACCCGTGGTATGGCTTGTTGTTTTGCTTATTGTGCCACCTGAGCAGCTAGTTTACCGTGCACACCATGAACATTCTCTGAACGGTAAATAAACAAAAACAGGATTATGAAAGTCACAGTTTATCTTTACCAGACTCCACAATAATTGCATCACTAAAAAATATACTACAACACTTTATATTAGCAGCCTGAAGTCTCAGATAAGAGGAGGCGACGAACAGGCAGAGGAGACGCACTGCTCCAAAAATGGCAGTGTCTTCCCCTCTTTTCTAGTAGGCTTGCGAGGAGGTGAGGCCAGGAGGTGTGACTCGACCCCTGCAACCACAAATAGGTGAGTACGTATACCTGGGATTGATTTTCACAGTAACAAGATATGAAGTGAAGAGGAATAATTCATAGAGTTGTTGACAAAGTCGGTCAGTGGAGGTTTGGCTGGTCCGCTCAGAACATTCAGGAATCATCAGATTGCAGCGTAGTCAAGTGACTTACTTGGGTTCGTCGATCAACATATTACCTACTACCTCAGAGTGTAGTGTTAAGAGAGGATGGTAGGCGGCGCTGAGTCCGCATTCATCTGAAACAAGCGCTTCAGTACTCAACCAACCCACACCACAGTCACATTCCCATGTCTAGAAAATTATGTACCTACGTATATGTGAAATTTACAAATCACAACTCTTCCCTTCCTCAGGGCGAATCTGATTGATCTCTTATTATGCAGGTGTTGCATCACTACTACTAATAATAGTAGCTATTAATATTTTATACACTAAACCTGTATGGATCATACAGCGCTGTGGGTACGGGTGTGCAAGGGTGGGAGAGTGCGGTGTGGTGGTGTGGAAAGGGTAGGGGTTGATGGAGGTGGAGTTAATGCAGGAGAGTGAGCTAAAAGTGAGATTTACAACAAAGTTAGAGTGAGTGCGTTAGGGCGACGTAGGCGTCGGAAGTGAATCCTGCGTGGCCACTGATACAACAATTTATTACGATATGGTGGATTGCCAGTGCAACCCGACGCTACTCGCAGTGGTGCTGGTCGTTTCTCCAATGTGATATCTGAGTGAATCGTGTGTGTCTGATTCATAATCGTGAGAGCGCAGTTACACAAACTCGACAGCAGTGGGAAAATGGATAGAATTCAGTTGTGTTTTGATAGACTACAGCATGCTGCGTTCTAATTCGGACCAGTGTTGTTGCTGCCAGCGGTTGTGGAGTTGCTTAGAATTGAATAAAATAGTCGGAGAAAGGAAGACCCTGCGAGAAATAGGTAATGACTCACGAAATCATAATGACACGATTGCAAACAAACCATACCACGGGTGGGGTGGGGCTAGAACTCGCGATCAGAGAGCCTTAAAAACTCCAGACCTATGCGTTAGCTACTGGGCCAGCTAGGTGGCTAGCTGGCCCAGTAGCTAACGCGTCGGTCTGGAGTTTTAAGACTGATCGCGGGTTCTAACCCCACCCGTGGTATGGTTTGAAAATAGGTAATGAACGGGTGAGCGAGCAGCAGAGTGCTTGATCATTGCCCTGATCATCGGCGTCTCCAGGGACCCACCAAAAAAACTTCCGTGTGTTTACTAAAAATGCGACAAAATCAGAGTTGTATACCAAGAACGATGGGAAGAGGGAAGTCGAATCTCTGGATATCTGGTAACGAACTCGGAAACTACACGAATGACGAGGCGGACATAATAGCCAATCACCCCTCAGCACTCCCTTCTTAAATTCTTTTTTCACCTAGAATTTAATTGCTTCCTTAATGACCCTAAGGGGAAAATACCCTACTTTTTTCGAGGAAACAGTTTCTGACTTACCTGACTTATGGCATCTGAACTTGTTTACCAGCAGTGAGAACGAAATATAACTGCTATGAAAACAATGGCTGACTCAAGAGAATATCTTGGCGTTATTTTTCTGAAAAGAAAAAGCTACAGACCCGATAACATCAAGAACTTTAGAAGCATCAGTGTACGTGGCTGTACCACGAGACTGAGACCAAGAAAGTGAGTGAGCGGACAGTGGTTGCAGGGGAGCAGGAACATAGTGAATCAATGTTGCAAGAAAAATTAACTTTATTGCTAACTCAATCATTATTAATTCCATTAGTATTAATAGGATTATTATTGATTATTATTATTCTTGCATGATGATGATGGTGGTATACCGTGGTGATGATTATCCTAGGTAATCTACACATATGTTGTTATATATGATAACTTATGTAACTATTTACGTGTACCTATACCAGAATAAACGTACTTACAGCACTGTCATTGGTACACGTGGCTCCTGCTGAGTTACTGCTTGCTGAAAGACACCTGGATACTCACCACCTTGACGTACCCGATAAGGTCAGTGCGAGGTGATAACACAAGGTCGGTACCAGAGTGGGGACAGTATAGCTCTATAAAGGTATAAAGGTGGAGAATTATTGCTCTTATAAGGTGTGTAGTGCCGCTATACTGGGAGAACCTCAGGCGTGACGCACTCTGACAGATCCGGTACTTCATCAGCCGGCAGTGTATAACAGATCAGGTACACACGAGCCGGCAGTGTATAACAGATCCAATACACATGAGCCGGCAGTGTATAACAGATCCAATACACATGAGCCGCCAGTGTATAAGAGATCCAGTACACATGAACCGCCGGTGTATAACAGATCCAGTACACATGAGCCGCCAGTGTATAACAGATCCAATACACATGAGCCGCCAGTGTATAAGAGATCCAGTACACATGAGCCGCCGGTGTATAACAGATCCAGTACACATGAGCCGCCAGTGTATAACAGATCCAGTACACATGAGCCGGCAGTGTATAACAGATCCAATACACATGAGCCGCCAGTGTATAACATATCCAGTACACATGAGCCGGCAGTGTATAACAGATCCAGTACACATGAGCCGCCAGTGTATAACAGATCCAGTACACATGAGCCGGCAGTGTATAATAGATCCAGTACACATGAGCCGCCAGTGTATAAGAGATCCAGTACACATGAGCCGCCAGTGTATAAGAGATCCAGTACACACGAGCCGGCAGTGTATAACAGATCCAATACACATGAGCCGGCAGTGTATAACAGATCCAATACACATGAGCCGGCAGTGTATAACAGATCCAATACACATGAGCCGCCAGTGTATAACAGATCCAGTACACATGAACCGCCAGTGTATAACAGATCCAGTACACATGAACCGGCAGTGTGTAACAGATCCAGTACACATGAACCGCCAGTGTATAACAGATCCAGTACACATGAACCGCCAGTGTATAACAGATCCAGTACACATGAACCGGCAGTGTGTAACATCCAGTACACATGAGTCGGCAGTGTATAACAGATCTAGTACACATGAGCCGCCAGTGTATAACAGATCCAGTACACATGAGCCGCCAGTGTATAACAGATCCAGTACACATGAGCCGCCAGTGTATAACAGATCCAGTACACATGAGTCGGCAGTGTATAACAGATCCAGTACACATGAGTCGGCAGTGTATAACAGATCCAGTACACATGAGCCGGCAGTGTATAACAGATCCAGTACACATGAGTCGGCAGTGTATAACAGATCCAGTACACATGAGCCGCCAGTGTATAACAGATCCAGTACACATGAGTCGGCAGTGTATAACAGATCCAGTACACATGAGTCGGCAGTGTATAACAGATCCAGTACACATGAGTCGGCAGTGTATAACAGATCCAGTACACATGAGCCGCCAGTGTATAACAGATCCAGTACACATGAGCCGGCAGTGTATAACAGATCCAGTACACATGAGTCGGCAGTGTATAACAGATCCAGTACACATGAGCCGCCATTGTATAACAGATCCAGTACACATGAGTCGGCAGTGTATAACAGATCCAGTACACATGAGTCGGCAGTGTATAACAGATCCAGTACACATGAGCCGCCAGTGTATAACAGATCCAGTACACATGAGTCGGCAGTGTATAACAGATCCAGTACACATGAACCGGCAGTGTATAACAGATCCAGTACACATGAGTCGGCAGTGTATAACAGATCCAGTACACATGAGTCGGCAGTGTATAACAGATCCAGTACACATGAGTCGGCAGTGTATAACAGATCCAGTACACATGAGTCGGCAGTGTATAACAGATCCAGTACACATGAGTCGGCAGTGTATAACAGATCCAGTACACATGAGTCGGCAGTGTATAACAGATCCAGTACACATGAGCCGCCAGTGTATAACAGATCCAGTACACATGAACCGGCAGTGTATAACAGATCCAGTACACATGAGTCGGCAGTGTATAACAGATCCAGTACACATGAGTCGGCAGTGTATAACAGATCCAGTACACATGAGCCGCCAGTGTATAACAGATCCAGTACACATGAACCGGCAGTGTATAACAGATCCAGTACACATGAGTCGGCAGTGTATAACAGATCCAGTACACATGAGTCGGCAGTGTATAACAGATCCAGTACACATGAGCCGCCAGTGTATAACAGATCCAGTACACATGAACCGGCAGTGTATAACAGATCCAGTACACATGAACCGGCAGTGTATAACAGATCCAGTACACATGAACCGGCAGTGTATAACAGATCCAGTACACATGAGCCGCCAGTGTATAACAGATCCAGTACACATGAACCGGCAGTGTATAAGATCCAGTACACATGAACCGGCAGTGTATAACAGATCCAGTACACATGAGCCGCCAGTGTATAACAGATCCAGTACACATGAGTCGGCAGTGTATAACAGATCCAGTACACATGAGTCGGCAGTGTATAACAGATCCAGTACACATGAGCCGCCAGTGTATAACAGATCCAGTACACATGAACCGGCAGTGTATAACAGATCCAGTACACATGAACCGGCAGTGTATAACAGATCCAGTACACATGAACCGGCAGTGTATAACAGATCCAGTACACATGAACCGGCAGTGTATAACAGATCCAGTACACATGAACCGGCAGTGTATAACAGATCCAGTACACATGAACCGGCAGTGTATAACAGATCCAGTACACATGAACCGGCAGTGTATAACAGATCCAGTACACATGAGCCGCCAGTGTATAACAGATCCAGTACACATGAACCGGCAGTGTATAAGATCCAGTACACATGAACCGGCAGTGTATAACAGATCCAGTACACATGAGCCGCCAGTGTATAACAGATCCAGTACACATGAGTCGGCAGTGTATAACAGATCCAGTACACATGAGTCGGCAGTGTATAACAGATCCAGTACACATGAGCCGCCAGTGTATAACAGATCCAGTACACATGAACCGGCAGTGTATAACAGATCCAGTACACATGAACCGGCAGTGTATAACAGATCCAGTACACATGAACCGGCAGTGTATAACAGATCCAGTACACATGAGCCGCCAGTGTATAACAGATCCAGTACACATGAACCGGCAGTGTATAAGATCCAGTACACATGAACCGGCAGTGTATAACAGATCCAGTACACATGAGCCGCCAGTGTATAACAGATCCAGTACACATGAACCGGCAGTGTATAAGATCCAGTACACATGAACCGGCAGTGTATAACAGATCCAGTACACATGAGCCGCCAGTGTATAACAGATCCAGTACACATGAACCGGCAGTGTATAACAGATCCAGTACACATGAGCCGCCAGTGACACCCACCTCACTAAGTTTTCACTGAAGCCTCGTACATAATTTGAGACTTTTACAAAGTTTTTGAATAACAAACTGTGTAAACTATGACTTATTATAAGCCAGTAATGTCAAGGCTACAAATATATCCTCCCACACTATCTCAACAATTTTATTATCAGAAATGTTTAACAATTTCATTTACTCGTATTTATGTATGCATGTACTGTATATACACTCAGTGGCCATTTAATTAGGTACACCGTTATAGTATTGCGTAAGTTCCCCCTTTGCCCCTAGAATAGCCTGACTTCTTGGTGGCATGGATTCAACAAGGTGCTGCAAACATTCCCCAGAGATTCTGGTTGATGTTGACATGATAGCATCAGGCAGTTGCTGCAGATTTGTCAGATGCACAGGCAGGATGGATTGTTTACGCCAAATTCTGACCCTACCATCTGCATGTCACAAAACAAATCGCGATTCGTCAAACCAAGCAACGTTTTTCCAATCTTCATCTGTCCAGTTTTGGTGGCCTGTGCCTGCTGTATGATTCTGGTGGGTTTAGAGCTGAGTTTTGATTATAATAATGTGCCTACTGTAGCCTTTGTTTGCTGCTCTTAGTTCACAGGAGTGGAACTTAGTGTGGTCTGCTGCTGTAACCCATCTACTTCAGAGTTCAACATGTTGTGTATTCAAAGATGCTCTTCTGCCTGCCACTGTTGTAACATGTGGTTATTCAAGTTACTGTCGCCTTTCTGTCAGCTAACATGAACCAGTCTGGCCATTTTCCTCTGACTTCTCATTATAAAGGTGTTTTCTTCCCCACACAGTATCTGCTTATTGGATGTTTGTGTTTTTTCACACCATTCTGTATGAACTAAAGAGTGTTGTGTGTGAATGTCCCACATCATCAGTATCTGAGATACTCAAACCACCTCGTCTGGCACCAACAATCATTCTACGATCAAAGTCACTTAAATCATATTTCTTCCTATTCTGATGTTCGGTCAGATGTAGAATATAACTTTGGTATATCTGTGTCTAGCATTAGGAATAATATTAGGAGAGAAGTAAATAATGAAAAAGATTGTTATAGGAATGCAGTTAGAAGCCTGAGTAGATCTATAACCCACTATGATAACATGAACGTAGATAAGTATGTTGATGGAGCAACGTGCAATGTGAATACTGACTGATGTTGTAGTGGCCAGGCTTAGGCTTGGTTACAAGTACTGACTGATGTTGTAGTGGTCACTCTTAGGCTTGGTTACAAGTACTGACTGATGTTGTAGTGGCCAGGCTTAGGCTTGGTTACAAGTACTGACTGATGTTGTAGTGGCCAGGCTTAGGCTTGGTTACAAGTACTGACTGATGTTGTAGTGGCCAGGCTTAGGCTTGGTTACAAGTACTGACTGATGTAGTGGCCAGGCTTAGGCTTGGTTACAAGTACTGACTGATGTTGTAGTGGCCAGGCTTAGGCTTGGTTACAAGTACTGACTGATGTAGTGGCCAGACTTAGGCTTGGTTACAAGTACTTCTGGCAGTTTGGGAGACACACAGATGATGATCAAACTAAATGTAAATTATGTGATCAGGCATATGGTCACTGTCTTGAACACTATGTGCTTAATTGTCCACTTATTGAGGAATACAGAGACAGACAGTATAATAACCTATGTGACATGTCAAG